GTAATACAGAAACAGAGACTGACAATTGTGATGAATAGAAACAAATCTTGAAGATAGATCATAGCTCTGATCTTAGGTTTCAGAACACAGACCTGTTCAAACCTTTCAAAAAGCTTCACTAGTAGATGAAATGTGACATGGACAGAAAATTTTATGTATCAGCTTCAACTTACTATTATTATTATTATTATTATTATTATTATTTATCAGCTTTAAAACAGTATATAATCATATCATCTATGACACAACACAAAAAGAAACTCATGCAGTTAGTTTTTTGCAATACCTCTTTTTTTTCTTTTGCCATAATTTTTATGCTATACTGAGACATAAACAAAGGAGAAAGAGTCTGATAACCTTAGTATCTGATCCTTCAAAGTTTGATTTGTGTGCCACTGCTGTGAGTTCTTGTATCAGCTCATGAAACCCCTGAAACAGCAGAGATGCTCAAATGAAAACTCACAGCACACTCCTCAACCAATTGGAACCAAGTTTCACTACACTACAAGGTGCACAGCACTCGATTTGCAGTTTCATTATTTTGCAGTTATACTGATCAAATTTCTTTATACTAGATATTTCCACTTCCATTTCTCAATCTGCCGTACCAACTTTATCACTTTACGTAATCTATACTTGCAACCTAATCCCTAGAAAATAATAAACATGTTAAGATCAATCTAGGCAGAGAAGTATTGAACTCACAGTGAGATCAAACAGTCCGCTAGTGTTTTTGCCATTTTTTCCATTTTTTCCATTAGCTTCTCTGAGTTCTCTCTCATTAGCAACAGTATCTGAACTAAGAACAAAGGGTAACCAAGCCTGGTAGCCATATAGGTAAAACAGTGTCAGTGCCTATGGAAAAATCATAATCAAAGAACTCATCACATTGTTATCTAATCAAGAAAGTTGAATACCTCATCTCTCACAACTAAGTGACGAGATTCATTAGACTGTGATGCTGATAGGTACACCCGAGGAAAATGCTACAATTCAAGGTTAGTAGAAGTTAAGGTGCATAAAAAGACTAGCACTGATGTACACTAAACCGAATAAGTAAACCAAATAATCAAATCTAGCACCTGATCTAGCTCACACAAAAGCTGATAACTTGACATTAACAGTTCTAGAGATTTTCCAGCCCTCAGGATTTCAAAGACCGCTGCCAACATTTTGCTATATGCAATGGTACAGTCGTTTATCACAAAAGATGCATATCATTTTCATTCACAATAATAATAATAATAATAATAATAAAGAAATGATTTTTACAGAAGAAACACAGAGTGAGCGTAGAGTACCTGGTCGGAGGAGTTCCATTTTCTGGTACAATTGAAGCAAAGCGAACAGCTTCTAGAAAATCAATCCCTACACCCAAACAACATAACACCAAAATTTAGAATTTAAGCGAAAATTACCAAGAATCACTATAATTGAACCAAGCTCTTAAATTTCTTCATTTTTTTGAGAAAAAATTGTAACTTGAAGAAGTTGGAGTTACAAATGAAGAAGAAAAAAACTAACTTCCTTTTTAATGTACTAAAATTTCTCAGGAAACAAACATAAAGTGAGAGTTGAGTGTACGAACGGTCATCGTTGGCGTCTTGGGAGTCCTTGTGCGGATCGGCCGTGTCCAATATTGCCAAGGTGTTCTCTTCTATGCCGCCTCTGTTGTTTCTTCTACTGTCACTGATGCTGCCCCTCTTTTCCATCTCTGATTTCCCGTTTCTTCCAAAATCTGAAACCCTAGTTCGCCGGAATTGAAACAAAAAAAGGCGAAAAGAAAAAAATTAGTACTAGAAAAGGCGATGACAATTTCCCGCGCGAATTAATCCGCCGGAAAAGGGGGAAAAAATAAGGGAAAAAAATTCCGTTGCCGGGACTCGAACCCGGGTCTCTCGGGTGAGAGCCGAGTATCCTAACCAACTAGACTACAACGGATGGCTAGCCAGGTTTCTCGTTATATATTTATTTAACATTAGAACCAGGGGTGCTTGCCACTTAAAATTATGGGTTCCATCTTTTTTTTTGGTTTCCCGTCCGGTATCCGGGACTTCGCCTCGACTAATCCGGATTGACCCGTGTCGCACACCTGGAAATGGTGGGTGAGTCTCCCAACGGAGGCTGCTGCATTCACAAGGTCTTGAACCCGAGACTTTACTTAAGCTGGAACAAGCCGCTTACCACTTGATTCAACCCCTCGTTGGTATGGGTTCCATCTTTAGATGTTAAGCACATCGCCTTTGGGGAATCCGAGAGACTCCTCCTGCCACTGCCACTTAATATCGAAAGTTTGATTGTGAAGATGGATTCATATGTTGGCTTTCAACTTATATATCTCCAATTGTTCCTCCTCTATTCATCCTTAATTATGGATTGCTTGGGAATTTTGACCAAAACTCCACAAGTGTAGGGTCTAACATATATATGGAGAGACCAATAAATGTGCTGATCGAATGGCTGCTAAGGGACATTCAGTATCTACTAATCTTTTGTATTTTGATATATGTCCTTAAGATATTATCAATATTATAATGTAAATTTAATTAGGATTAAGTTTCTTAAATGTTAGTTGTTTTTATGTTTTTATTTGAATGTTATTCCTTTATTTTCTTGAAAAAATAAATAAAGAAATAAATAGGACATCGCATTAAACTCCCTACCGTAGATAATTTGGTGAGTTAATAATTAAGTGTAGTAAAGTCTAAAATAAGGAGGTGGGGTTGGTTTTCTCTGACTTGAAAGTTTGAATAGGCAAACGGCGTATGCATGTGCAGACTAGCATTGCACAGGCAGCAATTAATGAGTTCTCGATGTTAGTGCTGCTTGATACAATTAAAATTTAGTGGATAATAGATAATAAGTACTAGATAGCGGATAACAGTAAAAGGTAACAGATGGTGGTTAGTAAGTAACGAATGACAGATAGTAAAAAGAGAGTAGTGGATGGTAAATAATGGATTCGATAAATGTAATTGTTTGACTATACAATAGTTAGTGGTTATTATTTAACATTAAATGACTAATAAGAACATATTTAAAATATTTTTTAAAATATTTTTATTTTTTATTATTAAAATTATTAATTTTATAAAAATAAAAATAATAAAATAGATAAATAAAATTAATTATAATAATATAATTACACTTTCATTTTTTTTAAAAAAATTATATTATTTTTAAATAAAAAATTAATCATTTTATCTGATTAATAAATTTTATTTTTTAAGATAATATATTTTTAATTATAAATTAATGTAAAAAAATATTATAATCACTTAATGTTATTAAAAGTAAAAAAATAAAATTGAAATTTATTAAATAATTATTAATTAAAAATGTGACCACAAATTAAAAAATATAAATGGATAAATTTATCAATAAAATTAAAAAATTTTAAGTCACTAGCAATTAGGTACAAAAAGTTGCATAAACTAGTTTTTTCAATATGTTAACGATTTGGACTATAACCACTATTCACTAGTCTCAAATCGTTAAATAAAATTTTATCAAATATTTTATTTGTAGCGATTTCAAAATATATAAATTTACCAAATACATACATTTAACGGTTTAAACCGTTAACCAGTATTTCAAAATCATTGGTACAAACGGACTCTTGGAGCGGAATCCGAGAAAGGTTGAAATCTTAATTGATCTTTAAGAATAAAAAAAGAGATTTAAAATTTATAAATTTGATTTAGTTATATTCAAATATTTTTATGAAAATATTAATTTTTTACTTAATGTTAGATAAATTTTTTAACATTATCAAAAAAGTGTTTTTATTTTCTAACCTCTTTCAATTACCCTTTAAAATCTATTCTTACCAAGTTCTTCAGACACCGACCCCCTTCTTCCTAAGAAAACTAGTGACTACTGACTAATCAAGAAAATATGATTTTCTAATATCTAGTAATTTCTCTTAAAACGCCGTTTAAAACGAATATTCTCTGGTAAGGTTGGTAGTAAAAAATTTCTTCTGTACTAGACTATTTAGTGTTAACTTTCTTTACTATCCACATTAGTGTAGAAATGGATACTTTCTAGTAGGGCTAGCATATTATATATAGAGAGAGGAGATAGCATAGGATATGCTGTTTATATGCTGTTTTCTAAAAAAAAGATTTGGAGAACTTGTTTAAAAATTTACATTTTAATTAATATTTTAAAAAATTAATTATAAAATTTAAAATTTTATTCATATAATTCATATATATTATTTTTTATTATAAGATAATTCTTAATTAATTACCTATTTATAAAAGATTAGTGTTATTTTTTTTACTGATCAAACACTTATAATCTTTTAATAAAAAAACTCTACTTATTAATATATGTTTTGTAATGTTAAATTTAGAATTTATTAAAACAATTTAAAAATTAACATACATGATTTGTGTAAATAAAATTTTTAATTCAATAGTTAATTTTAAAAATATTAATTAAGAGATAAATTAAAAAAAAAAAGATTGACAAAATACTTTATTATTATTATTATTATATATTATCAGAACAGAAAATGAAAGGACTAAATTCATTCAGTTGCGTATATATATAATTAGAAAAGAAAACGAGAGGATTACAAGAACATTTCACTCGGTTGCGTCACAAAAGTGCTAAGATCAATACAATCGCCATGGTAAGCCTGCCGTATCATAAAATGGTAAGATTACTCTTTCGTGCAAAAGATCAGTTTTTAGAAACCACCATTACCTATTTTCCAAAAAAAAAAAAAAAAAAAAAAAAATTTCAGAAGTCATAACTGTCACCTTAACTCGGGGGAACAAGAATACCAGTACCACTAACCAAGAGCCTTCAGATCCCTGTGGGTGGACTCCGGCTCACGTGCTCAACCGTGTTCCGGGTCAAAAGCGACGGCCCCAATATAGCCTCATGGTCCCATGTACACCTTGATCAGTTTTTCCCTCACAAAGCTATTGAAGTCCTAGGAAAATTTCACCCTCTTCAATGTTTCCATTAATTTGATATATGATGAGAAGAACGATTATGCATGGTTAATTTCAACACTAAAGAATTTTCATTAAATCTAAAAAATTTACTTACTTTTTATATGCTTTTTATTTTAAAATATAAGTCGTTTGGTTTAGTACAGTAAAGGAGATGTTAACCATTGCACCAAATGATCAAAATGTCATAACATTTTTTTAGTAATAACTTTTCAATATTTGTAAATCATATTAAATTTTAATTAATTTAAACTTAAATTAAGTTGAATTTTATAAAAAAAAAATTCAATATTTATTTTTATATTTATAAAATTTGAATTCAAAATTTTTTTAAAATTTAAAGTCGAATTTTGATTTAAAGAAGAATAAATTCTTTTCATTTAAATTAATATTTATTTGGTCAAAATGTGATAACATTGAATTCGGCGCTGGACCACTTTTGCAACGAAACTGGATTGCAGGTTTTCTCAGCTGGATTACTTGGATACAGAGCTGGAACTCGGGTTGAGACAGTTGGTCTCGAAAACATTAATTTCTATTTATGAATAAATGAGTTTGCTACTTAAATTTAATTCGTTTTTTTATTGATAGAAAAAATAATAATAAATCAGTTAGCTTTGAAGGTTATAATAATAATTGTATAGATTTGAAAACGAGATTTTTGTATATGGGGCAGGAGAATTGAAAGTTGAAACCATCTAACCATTTATTATGAATTAATGAATATGCAAGTTATGCATGATCTTGCTAATTGAAATGTAAAGATAGCTGAAAGTTGGGCTCCATCAGAATTGAGCTTGGTTTCGACTTTTGAACGGAAGAGAAACATTGCAGGCATCAATGAGATGATCGGATAGAAGCACGTATCTGATATCTCACAGTGCATTTTCTACCATTTTCTTGGCGGAAAACTTTATATATTTTTAACTGAATTTTCTTGACGGAAAACTTTACTGTGCATATTTGGTACAGTTCATAAGAAATTATTTCAAAAGTTTCAACTATACTAAATATTATAATTAATAAAAAATATTATAATTTTTCATAAATTAATTTTTTATTCACTTCATTCCAAATTTTAAAAGTATCGAATTGATGTTTTTATAAGAATTTCTCATTCGAATTTTAATAAAATTAATAAATTATTCTTATTTTATTTTTATTTATAAAAATAATACTTTTACAACAGTCTCTTTTCAATAAAACTTCTATTAAAAATTTTAATCACATCAAACGGGCACATACTATATTTTAACTAATTAAAAAATTAAAACCAAATGGTAAAAGAGAAACCCCTAAAAAGTTTACTTTATGGGTTGATAGCATCATGTCATAAGGTATATATTGTCTTCTTAAATATGTATATATACATATAACTATAAATCACAACTGAGTTTTGTGATTCAACAATTATAAATCAACTTGTAAAATACATTCCTCAATTTAAGAGATAACTTTTAAAATCTCATATCAATTGTAAACTTGTTCAAAAATATTTATATATATAACTATAAATCACAATTATTCTTAATTTATTTTTGATATAAGATTCTAATCTTACATTCAATAGCATGCTACGGGAGTAATTATGTCTCACTTTAACTCTGTAGGGTGGAGCTATTTAAATGTTCACACCCAACACAAACTACTTCCTCTGGCTCTATTTAAGATGCAGGGGATTGGTATCGCATCTCATACACTGCATTACATTCAGTTTTCTTTCTTTTGTGCAAGCTAGCTAGCTGTAAGTTCAACAATGGCGGTAACTAAGATCATGGTGACTTTAACGGCAGTAGGGGTGGTGATGATGTCAATTATGTTGCCTTCAAAAGCTATAGATACCGATAAAGTCAGGCAATTGGCAGCTAAATACAACGTGACATGCGTCTTGGTTTTTGGAGACTCTAGTGTCGATTCTGGCAATAACAACCGTCTGGACACCACTTTCAAGAGTAATTTCCTTCCTTACGGAAGGGACTTCTTCGGACGCCGCCCTACTGGAAGGTTCAGTGATGGAAGACTTGCCACAGACTTCATAGGTAACCACCAATCTCAGCCTGGCAGGGTTTTTTCTTTTTCCTTTTTTTTAATAATTTTTAAGCTTCGTTCATTTAATATTACAATTTGAATGTATTTAAAATCTCAATACCGTCGCAATCTAATTAATTGTTTTATGGGTCGTGGTTAAGTACCACACAAGGAAATTGTTAGGATCACATAAAAATAATACAATTGTATTTACTTAAAGATAATAAATTTTTTTTTAGTACTAATTTCTCGATATCTAGTAATTATATTAAGTCTCGAAACCATTTGGAAAAAACTCTTTCAGAAATTATTTCTCCATTCATAACATTCAAACTTGAGATTTTGTTTAAAAGGAATCGAGTTCCTTCTATTCGGATTAACAATTCGTCGATACTTAAAGATAATAAATAATTAGAATTATTAGTTGATAATATATAATATATGTGATATTTATTATTTAATAATTTAAAATTAATATTTTAAAATACTTTAACAATTATAAATAAATGAAACTAAATAATTAAACACACATACATTATTTTGTGTGATCTCGACATTTATTTTGGTGGACATAACATTGTCCTGTTTTACATTGCTAATTTCTTTCTTTTCTACTAGCTGAGGCAATTGGATACATAAAGGCAATTCCAGCCTTTCTCGATCCAGAACTGAGGCAGCAAGACTTGGTACATGGGGTCAGTTTTGCATCTGCTGCTTCAGGCTATGATGATCTTACGGCCAATTTAACCGTAAGTCCAATCCAAAAAATTCTTTCCATAAAAACCAACATAAAGGAACCTTTTTTCCATCTAAAATATATATGTTTTGGAAAACAGAATGTGTTGGCTCTTTCCAAGCAAGTTGAGTATTTCAGACAATACAAGATCAAGCTTAGCCAATTGGTCGGAGAGAGGAAAGCAGAGGAAATCATAAAAAATGCCCTAACTGTGTTAAGCATGGGAACCAATGACTTTCTCCAGAACTACTACATGGAACCAATTCGCCCCAAGCAATACACACCGGAAGAGTACCAAAATTATTTAATCTCTTGCATGTTTGAAAACATTAAGGCCAGTAGAAATCAACTCCATTTAGCATTTCTTTAGCCCTTTTTATTTTTATTTTTTAAATTTCGGAAACATTTGATGTTGTTTTGCTATGTTTCTTTGCCCAGAAGATGCGTGGTTTAGGAATCAGCAGATTGGTGGTTGTGGGAGTCCCCCCCATAGGGTGCATGCCCCTGGTAAAGACACTAATGAACCAGGAGACGTGTGTGGAGGAATATAACAATTTTTCCTCTGCATTCAATGCAAAGATAAAGGCCAAATTGAGCACTCTTAGGACCACATTAGGGATTCGAGGTGTCTATGCCGATGCTTATGGAGCCGTACAGAATGCTATGAACAACCCCAAGTTATATGGTCGGACAACACGCACTATTCTTTTTAATCCTATCCTAATTATACCTTGTGCCTGTTTTGATTAGACTGAAAAATATGGTGAAAAATTGGCAGGTTTGAATGAAACTTCGAAAGGATGTTGTGGCACGGGAACAATAGAATATGGTGATTCTTGTCGAGGATCGACTACTTGTTCTAATGCATCACAATATGTGTTCTGGGATGCTGTCCATCCAACAGAAAAGATGTATAAAATCATAGCGGATGGTGCCGTAGAATCTTTTGATGAAAGTCTGTTGGGGTAAACGTGATGATTAATTAATTTGTACCGTGATATTAATTTGGTAAGCAAGCAGCATGTCGGTTGACGATGGGATTAATAAGAGGGGTCCATCGTAAGGAAGGCATTATTATCACAAAGTTGATAACTTTGTTTTTATACTTTAATTTCGAGTTTCAATCTTATCTTATATAAATTGTTATTTAATTTTATATTTTTTGATAAAATTAATTAAATTTGATCATGTTGTGATATATGGTAATAGATGTTGATTAGTAATTGATAGGAGTGATATGTATCCATAAAAAGGAAAAAAAGGAAAGTGGCTCTATTTTGGTTAAACCCCCATTTTGGTCTCTCAACTATTATACGGACCGCCAACTTAGTCCCTCAACTAAAAAAATTCTTGATTTGGTCCCTACTGTTTACCATTTTTACCCCAATTTAGTCCCTCCGTTAAAAATCCAATAACGTGTCACGTTAATTAATTGCAGCATGATGACGTGTTTAAATAGAGTGACACCTCTTATGCATACCTGTAAAAAAAAAAATGACATGGCAGTATGATTTTGATCCAAAAGGATCAAAACTAAAACAAAAAAAAGGAGTGAGCCCCACCTGAACCCTTCTCCCCCTTTCTTCCCATTCGAACTAGAACAACAGAGCTCTCTCAATTTCTCAGCAAGAATCCACAGAAAAAAAAGAGAGAAATTTTTTGTATTTTTCCCAATTCCTCCTCAATTCCTTCATCAATCAATTCTTCATCATCATCAACAATATCCACAGAGAAAAAAAAAACAGAATTTTTTTTTTTACTTTTTGCTCTTGGGTTCGTTCGAACCCAGGAAGCCAGGCGTCCTCCTGGGTTTGTTCGAACCCAGGAGGACGCCTGGGTTTGTCCTCTTCCTCAGTTCCTTCGAACCCAAGAAGAGGTCGAACCCAGGCGTCCTCCTGGGTTCGAAAGAACCCAGTAAGCGTTGGGTTCAAGGGGAAAAGAAAGAGAGAGAGAAGAAAAAGAAAAAAAAAAGTAGAAATTTTAAAGTTTTTTTTGACATTTTTTTCCATGTCATCACTTTTTACATGCGTGCATCTGATGTGGCACGTTATTTTGACACGTCATCATGCTGCAGTTAATTAACATGACACATCATTGGATTTTTAACGGA